CAGAGCCCGGGGAGCAGCGGGACCAGGAGCAGGGCGAGGGCCCAGGAGAGCCCGATCATGCAGCCCGTGTGCCGGCGCTGGTAGAGGGCCTGGTACACGCTGGGCAGCTTGGTGATGAGCACGTACCTGTAATGAAGGCGTTACTGGTTGTCTGCAGCTTCTTGAAGGAGAAGACTAAATAGATGACCATTACATTGGATAAGGTCCCCGAGATAGCTAGGACCGCATAGAGCAGCGAGAGGAAGATGCGGGTCCCGGAGGAGTCCTCCCAGAGCAGCAGCAGAGGCGAGCTGGCACTCCAGGAAGAGGCGTTGGGCATCTCGCTGAATGCAGCTCAGTTTCGGCTTCGCCCCGTAAATCCCATCCTCGGCTGGGTCGGAAGATCCCGCTGCAGGAGCCCCCCGCCAAGCACCAAGGGAGGACGCGCAGCCGAGGGACGCCCAGGCGGGTTTCAGTCATACGAGCTGCGAGGTCCAGAAAACGCAGGTTGCGGGAATGGTCCGAGGAGCAGCAGCGTCCGAGGCGGGCGGGTAGCACGAGATCCCACGGGCTGCAGCTGGCGAAGGTGGGTCCATAGGGAGCAGATAGCTGTTCGCAGACCAGCGCACGACGGAGGGTTCTGTCGCTGTGAAAAATGCCAAAAGCAGCAGCACCTTGCAATCAGCAGCAGAAACGGCAGCAACTGATACAAAGCTTTGCGGTTTCTCCTGTGCCACCGTACGTACACTGTATATCATTCCAGGAAGATTCAGCCCTTCCACTCTTCATGAATTATTCAGCAGATTTTCAACTTGTTAAATCAAGAAAAAAAAAAAAAAAAAAAAAAATCCAAACCCTATCATGCTCCAGAAATACTGCAACTACAGTCTGACTCTTTTCTCTTTGCCTTCCCAGTTTCCCGGTTCTAACCCATTTACACAACTTTCATTTGCAGCAAGCTTTCAAGCCGGTCTCAGTCACTTCTGTCTGAAATACAATCCATTTGCTGTAAAAACTCCTTTGCTAGATACTCACTTGAACCGATTTTTACCTGATCTTTAAGAGAAAGCGCACTGTGCTCCTGCAAGCTTGACGTTAATTTTAGAACTGGTCTGTAATAAGGATATACTTTTCAAATTAAATCTTTCAAACGCAATAGGTAGATAGAGAGATCCTTGGTAAGGCAGTACTTCTTATTTGAGGAAGCTGGTCCTCAGTCTCCGCGTTCTGCGTTTCCCCATAAAACTCAGCCCGCCCCAGCCCGCAGCAAGTCCTGCCCCACCGACCTGCCGGCGGCGAATGCTGGCGTCAGTAAGTGCACGGATGAAACGGAATCAGCGTAGCGTTTGGAACCGTCTCGCACCAAAATTAATTCAGAGCACAAGTTCCCGCAGAGGTGAATGACAGGTTCTTAGGCGGACGAGAAGCTGGTTGACGAGCAGGGCTTAACGGTGCCTGCCCTGGGGGAGAGGAGTTGGTGGCGGGGCTCCGCCAGGAACTCCGCAGAGCTTTTCCTCAAACGGGGACAAAACGTTAACTGGCCTTACCCTGGACGAGATTTAATAAGAGACTGCGTAAAGGAACTTACATTTTCTCTCAAAAGCTGTCCAGAAAAGGAATGCTGATTGATTTGGTCCTGAGTTTAGGGGAAAAGCTGCTTTTACAGGTGGGTTATACGTGGGCTACAGAAGTAAGCAATCTCGGCTCACAAGGCGGGACCTGTGTATTGACCAAAGATCTCTTTATAAGGTGTTTTTAGATCGCGTTCAACTCATGATGCTAACAAATGACAATACCGAAAGAATATGTTAGGATGTAATTATAGTTACAAATTCTCCAAGATAATGATGTTGATTTGCGTGGGTCAACGGACTGTTTCGTTGCAACGGAGCGCATCTTCTGTTTGACAGAAAGGCTCACGCTCCCAATTGACAGGGCTATTGATCCAGATGCGGATTTGTTGCAAACGTGAACATCCGTGTTCTTTTGTAATTAATTGGATTGCTCATGTGCTGAAGGTTAAAGACGTAACCTGAGTGATTTACTTGATCAGGCCCTTAATTACCATATTTTTTGCCTGCTGCACTTTACAGCGTAGATCTAATCAAGTGTCAAACCTTTTGAGGCCTTTCATTGTTTAGCTGTCAGTAGAGAACAGTTATTAGAGAAACGAAAATCCTCCTCTTTCTGCAGTACTGTAATTGAAAAATATTCACTAAAGCTGTAACAAGAAATACCTCCCTAACCAAAAAGCTTCATAAAGCATACTTTAAAGAGGTGATTAACGGTTCCGTAAGGCGTTAGCCACAGAACCGTAGGCCCAGTAGAGACCTCTACATTTATTTAATCCAGCCTGACATGTTTATCAAACCTCTTCTTAAAAGATCTCATGTGCTAGGGCTTGTTCTCCCAAAACAGTGAGATATATTTGTATATGAAGCAACAGCAGTGGTAGAGTTCAAGGATAAACGAACAGAGGATAGGAAACAGGTTTCAGGGTATTTCTTAAAAGCTGCAAGGCTCTAAAGACCTCCCTGACCTTTCACTGCCCCCAAATTTATTGTTGTTAGTGTTAAGAAGCTGATTGTTACAGAATACCGGCTATATTTATCATTCATTTTTAAGAACAAAAATTAGCTGGCATTTACTGTATTTCATCTAATAAATCAATAGTCAAGCCCAGAAAAAGGCTAAGGGAGAAGCTGATGCCTGCGTACTAGAAACTTTCTGATCAGCCGTTCTTCCTCTGTATTTACTCTACACATCCAAGTCAATATCTGTTAATTGAATGTAACAGCAGAAGCCCTTTTTGTGTGTTTTTAGATGGGACTGTCGCTAGAATTTGGGGAACTTCTAAGGCATCCACTCTATTCCTGGCTCTGCCAGTCCTTCAGAGCACCGGCGTAGCAGTTGCATACTGTCCACGTCACCTACTGCGGTACAGGCTTCTCTGGCAGGGATATTGAGCACCATGGGCAAATAATCACGGAACACAACGAATTTGCTGCAAATCAGCAGCAGAGTTAAGCAGCGTTAGAACCATTTGTGACCGATTTTTAATTGAAGGAAGGATGAAAAGCTAAATGAAAGCACGATCTTTCAGGTTCTCGTGGACAAAGACCCTGCTGTTAGCGAGACTGAGAAACCTGTTGCACGTGCAAAGGAGATGAGGTACGTTACACCTCTAACCAGAGTCCTTGCCCAGGAAAAAGAAGGTTTCTTCAGTTCGGACACAGCTTTCAAATGACGGGATTTTGAAATATTACCTTTACACCACAATATCAACACGCCGATTAAATACTCTGTGCTACACAAAGCAACCACAAGAACGTTAGCTGGAGAGATCAGTCCGGAAAGATACCTGCCACACCAGTGTCTTTTTGCAACATCATCCTATTTATAAATACGTTACGTGCTTTAGGAGAACGAGGGTGATTTTGAAGAGTTACTCTTCGATTGGAGATGTTATCATGTTAGTTTACACCAAAAGATGTAATTAAGAAAAGCCAAGAAGCAAGGAAGCTGGCTGATACAGGCATTTTATTATTAATTAGCTGTATGTGTATATATATCTACATTTCAAAATTAAACAATATTTTATTAAGGAAAACTATTTATAACAAAGTACATGACAAAATTCTTTGTAAGAGGTAGAATTACCTTACCATTAATCTATAATTCATATACAGTATATCGTATATATATGCACACACATATGCTACTTCGTGTGTGTATATGTTACATATACACAGTTGTGAAAAAAGTACAGTATTGCATGTAAATTTTTTTCAGTGATTTATATAGCTGCTCTCAGTATTGCTTATTAACACTTTCAGTACAACTTCCCATACCAATCTGTGATCTGGTCTTTTTTTTTTTAAAAAAAAAAAATAAAATAATGTGGCACTTTATCTTAACTTCAGTTGTAAAGCAAACGCAGGGCATTCACAGGTCTTTGGGAACAAAGACTGACAATTCAACCAAGGTTTATTTCAAAGTTTCCGTAGGTATCGGAAAAACTCATAGGTAACAAAGCTGGTTTGGTTTTGTCTTCTAAATTAGCGGCAAATCAAGTCCTCAGAGCTGCCTCTGGTTTTTTGCTTACTATGCACTTGTGGAGTTCTGAAAATTTTACACGTGACGTCTAGTACTCGGCTGTAACACTGCTTCATTCTAAGGCTCGTTCCTAATCACACCCGATTAACCGATACGTTACAGAGCATCTTTACTGCTGACAAAACCATTCTGTGGTACAGGAGGTTACACTAGCTGTACGTTTAACAGTAGTTTTCAAATGAAGAAGTTTATCAAGCATCCAATTGATAAGTGAAAATTTAATGTACTTCCAACACCTACTTCAGTGTGCTTTGCTAATGAATTAACTGTACCCACACTGCCCAGCGTAGCTTAAGAACACGTAAGCACGCAACGCTGCCAAATTCGTTGTACATACACGATCCTACCAACTTAAGTTTGGTCTGCCTTCATTTCTGCAGTACATATTGCATAGCAAAATTTAACTTTCTGCATTGAAAAGAAAAAAGTTAAAAACATTCCTTTAAGACAAACTGAAGGAAAGCGTTAATTGCACAACTGAATCGTCAGATAAATGACTTTCTCTTCGCAATGGAAGACATAAGTTACATTACATCTCGCCAAATATTTTCCCTTTTAGTTTTCTTTCATAGTGTTTCCTTATGAAACATTAGCAGCTGAAAGTGGAAAGCAGATTATGTATCAAGTGCTTTCAGTTGATAGTCTGGTAACTAGTCTCTCACTAGTTCGACTTCCATTAAGTTACCAGAAGACCAATTAGTGAAAAAGTAATTACATTAGGCTTTTAGCAACAATGATGGACCCATAAAACAAGAAAAACATCTTGTTCATAAAAAATTTTCATCTTTGATAAACACAGAAAAAATTCTTTAAAATACACATTTTTGTAGCAAAGAAGTAAACACTAAATTAAAATATATTCTAATTTTTACATCATTTTTATATATATTGCTTACCAAAATATTCTCTTAATATATATTGTAACACTGTACACAAGTTAATAAATGTCTTAATGAAACTCATTAGAAATATATTCAAAGCTGTCTCACGTTAAAAATTTAAATCTGTATATAACACAGGGTAAAATAATTTCCATAAATTCAACATCAGTGCATCTGCAGTAGTCATTAAAAAGAAATTTCTGCCTGTTAAGAAGTCTCCTCTTGGTGTTAAGGTTTTAATGTGTCTTGTATTGAAGACCCCTCCTCTGAGCGAGCAGCTTCCTTCTTAAAGTTCTCCTCCTTCATGACGGACTTCGACTGCAAGAGCTCAGCAGGTTTCACCAAAGGGACAAGGCTTTAGTACTGAACATACTCAGACTGAAGGGGCTGCGCAGAGAAGAAAAGACGATTAAAACTCACTACAGCTTACACTTGTATACAACATGCATTCCGCACTTAAGGAGTAGAGTAAGGACAGGAAGAAGAAACCAGAGTTGGAGGGGGATCTGAATCTCTGCGTAAGTAAAGATGAATAAAATAAAGACACTCAAAACCCAGATACAGTAAATTCCATCAACTTTCCTGTATCTACACTTACTTTTCCAAACCAAATTCTCGAGATTCTTGAAGAAAGCGTTGCAAGTCCTTTAAAACCCCACCTTAATACCTTAAAAATGCATTGGAAAAACATACGATTGCAGTTACTATAATTGAATTGTTTCCATTTACCCTGAATGAGAATCAAAGTGCTACTGTAAAAAAACACAGCATACTTCAGATGGTGATTCAGGTAATGGCACAGGAAACAAGTATGGTGTAGCCAATTACTGAGAAAAAAGCTATAGTGGCACAATTATGCACATGAATAAATTTATGTACGATTACCAAAACCAGATGAAAATGAAGCACTGCAAATGGTTCATCTGGATTAGCAAGCAGTCAGTTTAATTACGAGGAAAGCATAACCTGGTCTATTTACTTTTCTGGTTCTATTGAAGTCTAATGTTTTATAATAAAGTAATTAGCCTCCAAACATTTTGCTGCCTCCTATACAGATGCGCTCAGGACATCGTTCTGATGAATAAAAGGTCTCAATCTGAGAGCGCTTTTCACTGTATGGTTGTAAACAAATAGCAAATAAAAACCCCCAAACCTTATTTTAAAACTGCATCAATTCATCTGAATTAGAGAGAACTGCCAGAGAACAACACGAATCCCAAAAAAGCTGAGAACCTTGGAGTCTCCTCTTCCGCTTTCCCACCATTCCTAACTAGTCACTACAGAAATGCGCTTTGGCATCCGTAGTGAAGCCAAAGTGCATAATAGATGTATAAATCTTTAGAGCTCTAACTAATATCACAGAATCCCTTTTTTCCCTGTATCTTAAATCTCAGCGTGTATTCCCAAAGTTGTCTCTTAACTAAATTTTCACGTCTCAAAGATCTGAGACTATGTGGATAGTCTTCCCTAGGTTGAAAAAGAAGTGCTGTCAGCATATAAAGGCTTGGAAACCACTGGCTCAGCAGGGGCTGGGTTTAGCGCTGCATGGATTCAGGATGCAGGGTATCATTTAACAGAAAATACCGTAAAACTAAACAGATCTAACAGGTATTTTTTCATTCTAGGCTCAGAATCACACACATTTTCCCTCCCCACCAGTCTCTAATCATCATTTTGGATTATTGGCTTTGGTGAGAGCTTTTGTCAAGGTATTTATTACACGTGTAAGAGGCAGAGGGAATAGCCCTTCATGAACGAGCGCCTGAAACTTCTGCTCGCTCAATGGTCCTCAAAGCTTTCTCATTTTCAGAAGTGCACTTTAACAGGAGGATGCTTACACTTAACCAGAGCAGTATTTGAAATGGATCCTTCAAAAGTGAATCCCAAGTAAAGTTGATTAACAAACATCAAAAAAATGCGTGAAATTTAATTAGATAACTCTCGTATGTCGCAGAGCAATGGATTACTTCGAGCTTGGACAGATGAAAGGTGAGCAGAAAGCACGGTACGCTTCTGGCGAGCCTGGGAACAGCCAGCATTGGCTGGCAGCGAGCTCCGGGCAGCAGCCCGTTCCTCAGCAGGCAGTAGCAACCAGGAATGCTGCATCATAATTTACATTAAACCATAAATGAAAGATTCTGAAGTTTACACTAAAATTCTTAAAATCGTTAGGAATCCAAGTTATAAAAACGCAGAAAAAATAATTAGTGGCAACATATAAAAAAAGAACAAATATCCACGCAGCACAGATTGCTTGGGAACAAGATAGCATGGGTTGTTAATTTTCATTACAGATGGACAGGCAGGGTTTATTTTATTTATTTTCAATTTGAGAAATGTTTTTCAGTGTGTTCCCAGCCTCACCAGAGCTGTACTTCACATAGCGATGATCTCTTCTTAGCCTTTTCTGAATACAGGGAAGAATTAAATTTACTTGATAAGAATTGAAAAGAATTAAGATTACTTGATGTGACTTCCCATAAAGTTCTTACTACTAAAACCACGGTGACAGCTCTAACAACTGAGCTGTTGTGAAGTATACAGATTAATTTTTGAGTTTGAAAAATGAAATTATAGCTGGGGAGGGTTGGGGTTTTTTGGGGTTTTTTTGCTTTTGCAGTTAAGTTAATTCATGCTCTTAAATCTCTTCCCATTGTCCAAAGAGACTGACTGTAATGCTTCAAAGCCTGTAATTGTGATTCCCCCCCCACCTTTTTTTTTTTTTTAAATAATTTGAGGAGCCTTCTATTTTAAAATTTACGTTCCTGTCTCCTATTTGCAGTGACTCAAAGTATGGCCTATGATTCTGAAAGCTTTATTAAAAACAAAAAGCCCCAGTCCACCTTTACAAGTCACATGCTGGTATTTAACAAAATCTTATTTAAAATAGAGGTAAAAATAGAAGGAAAAAACCCAAAGAAAATCGCTGAATTGCAATGATGAGCGTATGGAATCAGCTAACGGAGTAGAATTCTCAATGTGTACTCCTACAATGGTCCCATGCAGTGCCAAGCTTGCCGTTTTATACTCAAGTCTCAGACATTTGAACAAAGCACTAGGAATGAGATGGCTTCCCTACAGTTAATGGTATCTAACGAAGCCCATGCGGAAGCAACGGCGCGGACCACCATCATTTTTCTTCAACAGGAGGCACGCAAAGCCTCCTGGAAGAGAGAACAAGCCACAGATCCATCTAGGCACCAGAACAGTGTTTGCGTGCATTCAACTTCAGGACCAAGCCAGCGGCGAGTTAGCCTTCAAGAGAGAAGAACCCCGCCGCGTTTTGGGCTGGTAGGACCTGACCACACACTTGTTCCAGACGATGGCAAGAAGTAATTTAAGTTTTTCTGGAAGTGTGCGTCAGTTCTCCCCAAACATTGTCACAAGGGGAGCGTTGCAGCAGGGAAGAATTACCGTGAATACGCAAGAAGATCCACTATAAAATAAATCAGGATTTAGTACAGAAAGCGCAGACACCCTTGACGGGATCCTTTGAGTCTGCCCAATTTACAGATCAGCAAGACGCGCTAGCGTCTGTCTCTTTTTGCAAAGGCTGTCCTATGTTCATTAATGCCAAGTTCTTATCAAGAAAAACTATTCTGTAAGTATAAAGATCATGTATATGAGTTTTAAAATACTGCTACACTTCTCAATTTTTTGAGATTTTTCCATCTTGCCAGTTTCCATGACAGCTATAGAAGCAAAAGGTGACTCATCCTAAGACAGTTACATGCTCTTCAATAGAGATACATTTTAAAGAGCGATATTTGGATTCCTAACTATTGGAAGGACAAAGTAAAAATCTTATTGTAGTACTTTAAATGCAATTATACTCAATAAAAATATTTCTGCAAATTATAATTGTGAGAGATCCCGTTTAATTAAAACAACCAATTTGTAACATTTGCGTATAAAATATTTATTCTATTTGGCTAGAATGGCAAGTGGTCTATTCTGTGAAAATTGAGCTTTCCTTCCAGTTCATCAGCACACAACAGCAGAACCACAAGAAAAAGGAAGCGGATTATAAGGTTACACTGATGGACAAAAATCATTAGGGAAAAAATATATGGCTGACAACAACAGGAAGTCATAGGCAGGGTTATTTTTTGTTTGCTTTAAATGGAATGTGGAAGAACAGTATTAATAGAGTCTTTAAAATGTTTAGTTACAAAACAGAAAAAGAGAGTATTGAGGCATGTTCTCTTCCATACTGGGGGGTGAAAAAAAATTATGTACTTGTATTGCATAAAACTTAAGTTCCCAGTTTCCTCACTAATGAGATTAAAGAACGTTAATTAGAACTGAAAATTTACTGCCTTAAACATCTTCAAATGCTCCTGCACCACTCGTGTTGATAGTTAACAGATTTTGAAAGAGAGATAAGAGCGATAAGGTTATTTTCTAAAACAGAATATCTCTACGATCACAGATGCTTAGCTTGATACCTAACGCAGGTAAGTGAGATCCTGCTAATAAAAAGAGGAGGAATATAATTCGTACCATTCAAGAGTTCTTTGAGGAGAGAAGTTAAATGAATAAACATAACCACCATACACGTAAGAGACTTCTGTCAGGTGTATCATCTGATGTGCTCCAATTAGAAAAAAGTGCAACCTAATACAAACACTGCAACAAGACTCAGATGTGGCTGACAACTCCCAAGCAATTTCAGTATCTAAAGCAGTGAAGTGGAACTCATTAAAGAGAATTCTGTTTTTAACAGAATCCTGCCAGAACTGGTATTAAGGCTCCATGCTACTCTGTATTTTGTTCATGAGCTTAAGACCACTTGATGAATATCACCAAAAGCAAAACAGCTGAGTGTCAGCGGTTGAAGTGGTGAGACAAAACAATCCTTCTCAGTTGGTTAATTGGTCCCATTAAGAAGAGGGGTGGGGAAAAAAAAAAATAAAAAGAGGATGATGCTTTTATAGAGCCAAATGCTGAGTTCCACATAAAAAAAAAATAAAAAAATCGGGGAACACAGGACATTGGACTACAATACAAGTCAGTGTCTTGGATGGCAAGAAGTATTTTTTTTTTTTTTTTCTTCTCCCAATGCATTACAGTTAGAGAAAGTCACACAAGCTATGGATTTAGAAGCAGGACAGCACCGAGTAGCAGCTTCCCGGACCTGAAACATGAATGTTAAGAGTGTTGCACCTACTTCTTGAAAAAGGATTTTCAAAAACCGTAAAGGATTTGAACACTTTCCAGAAGGATCTTTGAGCCAATTTTGCTTATCAAAAGACAATCAGTTTGAGATGACTAGCATGAAATATCTTCATGACAAGAAAATAGGGTAATAAAGGACTATAACAGTGACATAATAAAGATAGACAGCAAGTTTCAGACTAAAAGTGAAGTGGTTTTAAGCATGACTGTACTCAACCACTGGGACCAATTATCAAGAAAAATTGTCTTCAAAATAAACCACCGTCAAGCTGGATCTGTATTAGCCAGTAAGTCAGAGGCTCACTACCAGGCAGAAAGCATTCAGAGATTAAATGATCAAATAATCTAGTCTTGCCTTAAAAACTGTGACATCACAGTAACCACGCTCGACTCAGTCAATTGTGCGTACAACAGGTAACAATTTAGCGCGCTCCGCTGTGATTGTGATAGATGCCCTGGGCCGTATGGTATATTCAGAAGTGCATGCAACATCAGGACGTGTTTGAAAAAACTTCTTCCAGGCAGGAAAGCAGTTTAGCTACTGTTATATTGAAACAAGATTACAGGTAAGTCAGAAACTTGGATTTTGCTACACAGACTTCGCGTGGTGTGATTCTTCCTCAGCAATGCTGCTTCTCACATCGCAATACCCAAAATCCTTCTTCTCTCACCTCACTTTTCCAGAGAAGAGTGGATATAGCATCAAATTTAAAGACCTTGCTATAGCTGACTGTGTATAACCTCTGCTCCTCATCACCAAATGACAGAAAGCCAAGAATTGTTCAGATTGTTCAAAACACCCTTACATCCTTCCATGCATTGCTAAGTCATTAAGATAGGTAGGAAGAAGATGAAAAATGTTCTTGGAACAAGAGAAACGTGCATTCTAGAAAGCTACTTTTTCTGCAAAAATGTTCCCCCTTCAACCTAAAACTTTCTCCTATGCCTAACAGATTTCATTTCAATCACTGTCTTAAGCCAGTTAACAGTTTCCTTGCAAGGGAACAGCAATTCATCTCCCTCTTTACCAAGACGCACGCAGCTATAGTCCCTCTCTGATGTCAAGGTGGCTGTTCACCTCTTCCTTAAATTAAGCAGTAATCAAAGTCATTGCTTTTTCTCCCTTTCCCTAAGTATTTTAGTCACCCTTACCTAAGAAGAAAACATGTGCTACAATACTAGAAGAGTCACATTATAAACCCAGCCCCTCTCCCCACATATATCCCTAAGAAGAAAACGTGTGCTACAATACTAGAAGAGAGAGTTACATTATAAACCCAGCCCCTCTCCCCACATATATTTGGGGAATTTTTGTGTCAATTCCATTATGTTGAACCTTGAGGGTTTACAAGATTAAATAGAAACCTAAAAGTCTGTGAATATTGGGAAATAAGTAAGAAACAAAGGTCAACCATTACTTAATTTCTTAGCCTACACTTATGGAACAAGCCCACTAACTTTACTTTCATTGTTAAAAACTATTTGTAGCTTAAAGGTATAGCAACTACCTTTCCAAAGGAGATGACGGTTCTTAGTTTTTAAGACAATGTATTTGCATTCAGCTTCTTAAGCTCTGTGAAGAAGTGCGCTGATTGTTTTTGTAATGATTTACATTATCATTTGGTGCTCTTGTAACTCCTGGCCTCCTGTGAACAATGTCAGCTTATTTTCATGACTGACTCACGTTACAGTCATAAGGCATTTCTGCCCCTTAGGGCTCTGCATGTAGGTTTACATATTGATGCATAAAATACAGCTATAACTAGAATATGGGAAAAAAAAAAACCCTCTAAGAATTGCTGCTGGCAGCCTATCATTTACAGAAGGTACCATAGAAAAGAATGGGAATGGGTTGACCTTCCAAAGAACTATTGTTCAAATACATTAAATATGAGATAATATTGAAGGTGAGAAATAAAAATTTAAAAAAAAATCAGACACTTCACCACTTAGTTATTCAGATGAGCGATTGCTCTCTGCCATTGCTGGTGTATTGACTTTGGTTCCAGTAAACTTCTCCTGAGGACTGAACTTCTGGAATCGTGTTGGATAAAAGACTGGGAACACCTAAAAAGGCTGACTCTCCAGAGCCATGAGAATTCATGAACAAATGCAAGACTCATGGATGTGGCTCAAATCAAACATCCTCAGCTCGCTATACAGCTTTTCACCTCTCCCCTCATCTCTACACCTGGAGGAATTAAACCAAATTACTTAAACTAAAACAGTTCTTTTATTCTAGAACTGGTTTCATCGTGAGAAAACCAGGATCTTTTCTATATCCAACCTGAGAAAAATCTCAATTATATATAGTTTACCTCAATCCCACGTAGCAGGTAAAAACACAACCAAATTAAAGAGGTAAAACAGCTTCAAAAAACGGGAAGGATGTGGCAATATTCACTAAGTCCCTTGCAAATAAGTTACTGCTGATATTTGAAGTAAAATTTAAACTCCAACTCAACGCAGGAACACCCGGTAATCCTAAAACCATGGAATATTAACATTTATTTCCAGATAAATTGTAGTGGATAAGAAGCTAAATGTACTTTCAGACAAGGCATCTGAAAGCATCAAGTATTTTAGAGTTGCTTTAGGTCAAGCACAGTAACTCTACTCCCTTTTCCAGTGGAAGTATCCATTGAATTTATGAGAATACAGAATCAGCTTCCCTCAACTAAATTTGTTTTCAATGTTCTTTGTATACCAGGCAGGATTCAGTCATACATCCAATTTAATTCCACAATAGAACAATGAGAATTTATTTCCTACTGTCATCTACCCTCACAAAATGCAATTCACACTCCCAAGTTATGAACATGTGGCTTCTGAACTGGACGTGGTGCCACATACCAGCTGCTAACAAGAGCATGGATCCCCCACATCTTCAGGAGAAAGAGAACACAGCCCAGGAACGATCTTTTCGGCTCACCTCCTACGTACATGCCACAGGCATGTTAGCTGTTTTAAGACAGAGGACTCGCCATGTTCAAAAACAGTATCGGGTATAACACCAAAACTTCCTTTATACTGCAGCAATTTATCAGTGGTAAGGGAACAGAAAAGAAAGGTGTCATATGCTGAAGTTAATTTTATAAAATTACCTCCTTATTTCCAGCAGCTAAAAAAATAAAAATCTGAAGTGTCAGTACTACTAAACAGAGGTTGACAGGTTCAATTATAGGCAATATATTCTATTAAAAACCCTGCACTTATTTTTATAATTAGTAGGATATCAAATCTTTGGAAACCAGGTATTTTAAATTGGTTTTAGATTTATAACAGTAAATATGTTTATTTGTTTCCCCTAAAATAGCTGAAGTTATTTCTGATTTCACAACTGAAGCTTCTCTAGTCTCTCTTCTCTGCATTTTGTAGAGAATCACTTTCAAGCTGCATTAATTTAGCCGTGCATTCTCTGCATACAGACTCTGACACAGAAAAAGGGCACAAACTAAGCCCAAGGCAGCGAAGTTGTTGAGGAATGAAAGCTAAAAACAGTGAGACCATCAGAAATATCTGGCTCTAAAATACTTGTCAACATTTGGTGCTAGAAAAGGACTAGGTTTCAAGTCAAGTGGGCTCATCTTTCAAATGAGCTCTATCTTTAAGAACATTGTACCTTTGTTTTGGTATGACACATACAAAGTCTTCTTTAAATCTGTTACTGCATGAAGATTTAAGATACATCATAAACTTACGAAGTATGTTATGGATAATTTGAAATAAAAAACCTAAAGGGTAAGAAGGTCCATAAAAAAGGCACCAGAAAAGGTGTTCAATTTAAGTTCAGGAGTGATTTATTTTCATGAACCCTCCATGGTCTAGACGCTTGAAAGAGATGAAAAAAAGCTTAAAAAGGCGACAAAGGTGCTGTTCAGCAACATTAAAGGAAGTCAGAATTATGCTGGGTTAAGATTTTTTGTGACAGCTTTGCTCACAGAAGCAAAGAAGATAAGCATAGGTCAGACGCCTGAAAGTGCTGTTGTGACTGTGAATTGAGTTGTGACTTACAGGAATTGAGCGACTCTGGTATCGTGCTGGAGGAGTTGTAAGGCCCATAAAGGAAGGTTGATGCGAACTCATCTGTCACGGAGCTGTGAAAACTGCTTTGGCTGCTCAGGTTGTTGCCACTACTGCTGTTCCTGTTGTATAAGTTGTTGTTCAGTTCATGGTTATTTCTGTGAGGCAGCTGCAAGCTGCCATTCAAGTGGCTGGACATTTGGCTTACAGAAAAACCTGTCCTAGAGGACGATGATGTCATTTTGCTCTCATCATCATCTGAAGCAGCATACAGGTTCCCTAGAGAACTGGCTAGTCTGGAGTTTATGGAAACGCTGAATGGAAAACACATGCGGGGAAAAAAAAAAAATACACACAAGGTATGTACAGATCTTTACAAAAAAGTAACAGACAATTGAGAAGACATTAGGTGAATAACACAGACCATTCCGAAATAATTTGTGTTTGCACACAGGTTCGTTTTCTAGCTTTCAAATAATGAAAACCAGAATTCTTTGTCAGGAGTTCCCAAACTTTGTTTATTCAAACACTACCATGGCCAGCTTTCAGCTCTGCCAAACCACGTGCACATGCAAGAGGTGGTGTTTAGGCTTAGGCAGTGGCTGATCTACGCTGAAGTACTTTGTGTGCATGTAACAGTTTAAGAACTCCTCTTCTGTTTCTTGAAATCAGTAACGTGATACAAGTCTTCAAGTAACCAAGAAGTAACATGATAAAATTTGAGAATAAAAGCAGGGTGTCCTGAAATATGTCTTTAGTTATTTTCCTCAAGTAAATATTTGTGCCCAGAAGTTGTTAAAAATGCATCAATCATTCTAAATTTCATTTAACACCCATTATTACTTAGTACAATCATAATTATGGAATTAAAGAGCAGTAAATCAAGGGTTCGTAAAAATATAGATTACCACTCAGTGTTCTTCTAAGATTAATAGTGTCTAGATGTGTGGGAACACTTGCAAAACTTCTGTAAACTCAGGAAAACCTGAGCAACGTAATACTGTTTCTGACTTGATATAATCCCACCAAAAAACTCATACCATCAGTACAGGTTTTGGGTTTTGTTTGTTTGTTTAAATCTGCAGGCAACTAAAGCTTGGCTAGTGGAACAGCAAATCACTTTGTAAATTAGTTTAAGCCTTCTTACACCCAAGAACAGCACGCGCTTCATAGACCGCATATGTGCTGAAAACCACTGTAGTATACAGTAAGCATTTGTACCAAAATGAGAAGAAAAAAACCTTTTAAGGTTAGAGCCTGAGGATGTGGGAATTCTGCTTATTCTTTCTGCAGATGGTGAATTAACCGCCATTCCTTTGGAGGCCTTCAGAGGAGACGTGGATCCTTCTGTGCTACCTGAAGTATTCAGTCTAAAAGGAGTGCGGAGTTTTAGTGAGAAGCAAGATCTTTACAATTGAAATACACATCTCAGAAACACAATAGTCTTCCAATGCATAGACCGGGATTTTAAAAAGTGGGAATTCTCAAGTCTGAGTACTGAGAACTCAACAGCAAAAACTCAACAGTCTGCCTGTTTTCAAGTGTCTTTTCAAATATCCCACTCTCAAGTTTTTCCCCTGCTGTACCATATTATACAGTTATAGGCTACTTTTTACCTTGAAAATTTGTTAAGGCTAAATGTCCATTTAGCATCAAATTTATTATAAATTTGATTATAAATTTAAAATATTGTAAATTTGAGGAAGAGTCATTTTTGTGCTTACAAAGCAAATACGAGCACAAAAAGCCAACACTGTTGCTTTCATGAGAGGAACGTCATCGTTTTCAAATGACAGCAAGAACATTTTCACAAAGTTGCACAAAACACACAGCTCTTTCTAGGGTGGAACTCTTAATGACCAAATTCTTCATACATGGATAATGAGCTGTAAGTATGGTACACTGGGCTACTCAAAAATGTTAGCATTACAGCTGTCCGTATTAGCTTGTTAAAAACTAATAAACAAAGAGCCTTGCAGTAACGTGAAATTCTCTCCATCCTTAGACCTTGTACCTTAGGTGTAAGGCATAAACCTTATACCTTAGGTATGATCATGATCAGCTCCTAAAGGATGAAAAGACCCTGGGTACAAGCTACGAGCACAGAAGAAATGACGCTGAGCAGAAATAGCTTTAATTCCACGCCAAGAGGGGTAAACAGACATCTCCAAGGTTAGACGCCTGGAGTAATCCATCTCAAAAATCCAGGCTACCACAAAACTGAAGATCATGTCGTCTTTTCAATATTAATGCTTCATAATGACAGATATTTTGCCTGACATGTTGTATTTTAGATGCAATGGGGTAAAGGATGCAATGGCTACAAAACCAATAGAATTCTGCCATTCCTATAGCTCTTAAAATTAAGTAAATTTTCACTCTATGCTTTTTTTTTCAGGGGCACTGTCAGTACTGATTTGAGATTAGTACAGGTCATAAATGAAATAAACATTTAGAAAATGAGGAGAAGCTATTGGCTTTCTTTGCTCCACAGAAAGTTCTGAACAAAGCAGGTAGTCAAGTGTACAGTGAGGACGCTTTATTAAAATAAGGGGAAGGTACTAAAACTCAATATTTACCTGGTACATCTTCTAAAAAAAAGTACTGATTGTATCCACTAAGCAATACCTCTAGTTCACCTCCTAAAACACACAGGACAAAAACTGGCTACACATTGCCTGCGTATCACAATTTAGGCTTCTGAGACAAGTATTTTAATTCCACAGAGATAAAGTGGTTATGAGTTAACTAGTCATCTGTCACTGCATAACAGCACTGCATGACATGTCAGAAAATGTGACTGAGGAAATTACTTGTATGTGTTAATAATTCAGAACTCGAGGTATCCCTGAGATAGAGCTGTACCACTCTGTCCTTTAGATGGGTTTTCCCCCCCGCATTTGCAAGTGTTTAGAAAAGTTCGTTACCTGCCACTTCTCAGAAGCCTGAAATTGCTGATCAGTTGATATGATAATTCAAAACATCGAAAATTTAAGACCTGAGTGGTATACATTTAGAACTATTAAAGTTAATACCTGAAAGGTTGTGATATTGACCTGGTGTGCAGTTTCATGTCTTGCAGCCTAAAGAAACCAAAGCACCAATCTTTATCAAAGGATAAAAAGCCTTTCCCCTCCCTCCCAGAGCATCCTTGCATGTCTCATACTGGCTTTAAAGTACAAGACTAACAAGAGTTAAGGATTATTGACAATCATTATTTTAATTTACTCGTAAATAACAGAGAGGTAACTTCAGGTTTATTTTCAAACTTCACATTTCTCCTGGTTCTGAAAAGTTCAGAATTTATTCAAGAAGTACAGAAAAGTAATTATAGAAAGATTACCAAGTTCATTCAAGAATATTTGGTTTGAGACATAAGTTTTAAAATGCTAGCTATAAATTTGAAGGTTTTGAAGTATTATTTTACTCTGTCTTTTACTGCTCCACAATAAGTAAGTATCCTGAACAGGGAAACAGAGAGGAAAAAAAATTAACAAACCAAATGTGCAACTAATAGATACGCACCTAGAGAAATTGCCACCACGGTCGGTGGTACAACTAGTACCACTGCCTTAAACAAGGCCATATACTTGCCGTAAAGATCTTATAGCATAGACTGAGTTTAAAATTACAAATTACCTCAGAATTCATTAATTACCTCAGACCTCCAGTTGTGGCAGAACATGGCTGTCTTCGACTTTTTAAGGCATTAAGCTTATCTCCCTGCGTCATGCCGTTCTGAGTTTCCACACCTGCTTTGTCTTCAAAATCATTCTGGGAAACACAAAGTGTGCAAGCAAGGGAATATATCAAATCCTTAGCAGTGTAGATTCAAACTATTGAGCATCTCCTTCGCAAAGACTACAATTTAAAGGGCTAATCTACAGTCTTCTGCATACATAGGCACTCTTCTGTCTTTCCAGTAAACTAAATATCACCGTACAGACGCACATCCACACAGGCTTTTTGCAGAATCTGAACTCAAAGTCAGCTCAGGCTGCTTGAGTCTAAAGTAAATAAATCCTGGTATTAAAGTAGTCATTTTTTATAGAACTTACACTCCAACTCTTTCCTCCATAACTATTTTTAAAGTTATCATCCAATGTGGAAGGGAAGCAGTAACACACAATGTTGTCATATGGACAAGATGAGGGAGAAATTTAGATAAAGTTGTGTCTCCTGCAAGAGGAGCTAAAAATCTAAGAAATCAGCTTTCCTAAACGACTAATTTTTTTTTTTTTTTTTTTTTTTTTTTTACAAAATAAGTTCTCATGACATCTAGAAAAACATAATTTTGAAAAAAATTCCCTATGAGAACTTAATAAGGAATACAGGATGATTTTGGAGTTTTATCCTACTTCTAGCTTTAGAAAATATTATAAACTCTAAGAAATATTAAAAAGCGTATGCTAACACTGTTTAAATGCCTATTTGTAATTTCTTACTGATCTCAAAAGATCAGATTTGGGTCTTTTCTAAAGCCCAAATATTGAGTAGAGACAGTTCTTTAAGTAGCAGAAAAATATGAAAGCTACACAAAGCAAGAAATTTTTTTAAATTGCCAAACGAACAAAACTTATACCAATTACACGTCTTTCGACAGATCAAGTATTTGTTTGTATTCCTGCAGTTCCCGTTGTGCTTAAGTGGCCTCACTGCTCTGCACAGAACAGAGCAATAGTTTCTGCCAAGATGAAAGATTGACAGAAGTAGTGATATAATAGAAGTCAATCAAACGATGTGATGGTCTCCAAGTGTTGCATTAATTATAGGACAATATAAATATTTTAGCTAGATTTCCTTGAAGGTTATATGCTAGGCCATTGTTACCTATCGATTCAGCCTCAATGCCAATAAATTTTTTCATTGTCTTTACCTGCCCAACAGTTACTGCAGATAGCTCTTCTGTCTTCTGATTCTTAGACCTTATGCATTTTTGGGACTGGGAACATTACTTTGTTTTGAGCTTCTAGAGAACCTAATATAATGAGGTCTTGAAATATAACCAAATATCCAAAGAGATAAAGAGGTAAGTTAAGTGTTTGGAAAACTGAATGTTAAGCAGCTTTAATATGACATTCTATGATTCTATGACATCTATAAAAAACTGAAATACACTTATTACAGAGGGGGTTACAGTAGAAAAAAAAGCAGCCCCGTGAATACAGACTGTGGATCTGTGCATAAGCTGCCACACAGCGTACGGGTAGTTGGGCTACCTGCAAGTTAGTTGCCTTGAACACTGGAAGCAGTGAAGCTGTAGTAGCAGCTCAGATTCAAACCCAGTACTTTTACCCATATGGCTATGTGCTACCTGTTTTCCTCAGGCATACAAGATAATTTCTACACAGTGACACGTCCTCCAGTTAGTAATAGAGATATTTAACTTTAATTTGGTAATATTTAACATATTCCAAGCCACAAATTGAACTTCCAAAGAGGAAATAGTACCTTTACAGAAATGCGTTCAAGGTGCTCTTCCAAATTATGATAGATCACATGATAGAGGATTATTGTGATTTATACTAATAGCTATCTGAAGAAGGTGCCCACTACATCCCTGGTCTTTCACATCAAGTAAAGGATTCCATCAGCAATGTAAAAACTCTTTAATTATTACAGAGCTAAGATAGGATTAATCAAATGCATAGTTTCTTCTGAACAGCTTCTCAGATACTGTAGGCAAATACAGTATAAGAATTTTATAAGCCCAGAAGCAGAAGTATGTTCACTTTAGTTCACATTTCATGCCTATGCTTCCAATAAATAATTGTAAGGTCCTTACCCTCAATGCACACCTCACATCAGTAATCCATAACACTGTGATACAGGGATGGACCTCTATACACTCATGCATTATTAGTTAGAAACTTGGAATAAATAGATTTCCAGGAGGAAAACTGATTCCCCCCTGCCCCCCGTTCTCCAATGAACAACTGAAAACCCTGGAAGAATGGCTTGAAATAATGCAAACCTTTTGAAATCTGCAAAATGGCCTATGACAGTTTTAAATGTAACCACACTTTTTCTTTTTTTTTTTTCTTTTTTTTTTTTGAAAAAGAGGAGATTTGTTCTAATTATGACCTATTAAAAAAAGTTTAGCAGTGAAAAAGCAATCTAGTACTCATACAAGCCTAAAATAATCTAAAAATTATCTGTAGCTAGTTATTAAAAGATCAGCTCCATCTCGGCTTGTTTGAAATTTTTCCTACAAACTCTTACCTCCCTGTATCGATCCAAGTCTTGTACTTTATTCAAGCTGCCACTGATTGAAATGTCGTTCAAGCCACGAAGAACTCTGTTAATGTTTCCATCAACTACCCGTTGTTTCTGCTTTGATCGGATGAGATCTCCCTCCAGCCATAACATTGCTTGCTTCCTTTAGGATACAAAACCAAATCAACTCATATCAACAGATTTGCATACACATAAAAAACCAATATGAAAACATGCTACTCTTACAGATTTGAACCTTCTGTACATCTTCATCGGGGAAAGGAAATTCAAATGTCTGTCACAAAAAGAAAAACCACAACCAGAAGTCGTAATTTTCAATGGTTAAAAATCACGAAACAAGTCTGTAGCTATCACAGAAGCCTTACAGGTACCAAAACTTCATTTTACAAAATCCTCCTGGGAAAAGAGATTAACTGAACAGTCTGCAATGGCATTTTGAAGACTTTTAAAACACAACTTAAAAATTCATATAAAATAACGCTTTTATATGTAATGTGTAGAGTAAATGATGATACAGCACTTTCCAACTTATTAGCATGTGTATTGTGTATACAGGTATTTGTGTATACAGACGTACAGCAGTAAAACTACAGCTGAGCTGCACAGTGGAGGTGGTCACAGTCATGTAAAGTTGAACAGGACTCCCGTATCAATTTCCAGAAAATGAAATATTATATCCCTCGGACAGGTGGTAAAAAAATAATAATTTAATTGCTACAATGGGCAGGCTTTTATTGATGAGACTGCATTATTCCTCGATAAGGAAGTCTGCTGGGTAGGTACCTATCATGCTAGTTCCATCCAAGAACTATTACGTATTATTGTAACAAAATTAAATTCCTATACTGAACAGAGGAAAAAAAGAATGAGGAATTAAACCAGAATACACTTTCACTGGAAACTTTCCTTTGTTTGAAAACAAAATATTACAGCAAAGCTGAAGAGCCAAGTAGTCTGAGCCAACTGCCAGTAATAAACGGGAAAGGTAAGCACTTCCAGAAAAATTTCACTACATCCCAAGAAAATATCAAGGGAAGAGAGGAGGAGAGTGCGGGCAGAGGGAGTGCCACTTATTCCACCTAACAGAAGTAGCCTAGAAAACATGCTTGAATTTAAATACCTTTGAAATGTTTCAAGATTAATTGCATTCACAGTAACAAACTGATTTGACACATGCTTGGGTGGGAGGGTCTCTACAAAGAACCCTACTCAAACCTCCGTTAATAAACCTCAAAGAACCTAAGGGGTGAAGCTTTGACACCTATGAAGGTTGGGAGATCAAAGTTCCAAGGTTTTACCTTTTCGTCAGATGCAACTTTGCAGCCCCGAGGGCAAGATATTTATCTTAGAACGATGCAACTGATGTTAGCGCCTTCTTTCTCAATCCCATTTTGACACTACTGGTGACATCGCTTGAATTTTGTCTGATTGTCACAACAGGTATCTATTGCCATTAGGACAAGAGGAAATTCTTACCGAACAATACTACAGCGCTTAGCTATGAATAATGTTGGTATGAACGAAAAAAATCTGGAAGATCTTTGCCTGTCTATAAAATCAAACCAAGTATTTACATGCCACCAGAGAAAGGACATGGGCCCTGTTTTTCTTATCTTTCAAGTAAACAGCACTTACTATTCATACTACCTACTACCTTTCTCTCTTAATTTTGCTCTCTTGTGGAAGTTCTTTTTAGGAGCGCATCATCCCAGCACCAGCACCGTGTGAAGTTTAATCTGCCTCAGTGAGCGGTTTGTGAAAGTTTGCGATTCAGTGTTTTGAACAATGCTGGGCCACCTCTCAAATAAAGCAGGGCCCATTCAGTTGCACTGGAAATAGGAATCCTCAGTCATGCTCAGTTTCTCTTATGAATTACAGTAATAGTCCTCCTTTCTCTCAGATTTCCTATGGATTTTCAGACACAAGGTCAGTGCATGTTTTACTGTATTTACACAGTATCTAGCAGAGCTGTTGCATTCTCTTTTTTTCCAAAAGACAACAAATCTGTGGTGCATTTTCTCAAAATGTTTTTACTCGTAACAGTGAAAATGCCTCCAATTAAATACCATCGTGGTATCAACTCAGTATCAGCATAACCATTATAATAGTAAACGCATAATGTAGAAACTACTATGAAATCAAAACTTAATGTCTACATCATGGAAGCCAGAGCCATTTTGTCATTTATTTCCAGTGTCAGGATCAAACCTTGAATCACCCATTCAGTATATCTGTATGCAAAACATTCTCAACCCAAAGTATACAGTCAATTTTGAGAAGGAGCTGTATTAAAACCATACATTTGTTTTGCTATCAAATATTAGCTCCAAATCAGAAATGCTTCATACATTATGCTAGGAATCTGACAGAGATCATAAGCTGTCCACCACATAATTATTTAATCTTTAGTTATAAGAAAGAAAAAACCATATCATTTATACTATCGTAAGATTCTTTTTAAGTGTCATCATAGGCTATATATAAAGTATATAAAGTCTATTCTTTCTACGGTAATATTTTAATAAATCCTTGTTGTTGATTTAATCTTTTATCCACATCTGGACTTCACACTTCAACGCGTTTGTCTTTAACTCCTAAATCCCCCAGAAAACAGACATGCAGTCTTGAGACCTTCTGCTCCTTAAGGTGACAAAATAGCTCTCCAGGGAAGATGATTGCTACAGATTAAGTTGGGATTTCAATCCCAAATTAACTAACCTTAAATATATTGCAACAGGCAGTAATATACAACATCAACAGACAAAGTAGATCCTGTAAATAGTGCAAGATGGATAAGGATGTAGAGAAGCAGCTGACTCTTAGTAGCAAAGAAGGTATACGTACTCCTCCAAGAAGTGTTGCTGGGGTCCTATAATAGACCCTGGTCGACATATTCTGATCCACGCGATGGCTTCAGCGTGTGTGAACTTGTAGTGTTTCATTATGTAGCAGGCAATCAGCGTGCCTGTTCTCCCCAGGCCAGCTACAGAAACACAAACACCAACATTCGCATACGAGGTCATGAGCATCATCAAATTAAAACATGGGAGACAAGCAGCCTTCTTTGCAATAGTATTCACCACCTTAGTATTTGAAGATAAGATTTCTATTCCGTATCCCGTTTACCACATAGTTGGATTTCAATGCTGTAGATACAAGTGTGATATATTTGTTCTTATAAGAAGTTAACAGTGTTTAAGAACGCACTCGTACAATTCTATTTCAAACCTTTTTTTTTTTAAAAAAAAGGCTGGTATTTTAAAAAAGGCATGGCCAAGCTGGATACAAACTTCGTATTTATAAAACCAGTAAAAACCAAAACCAAAGTACTTTTGAGAGGCCAACGCACATACTTTACACATCAAGGTTCAAATACACGCAAATACAACACGGCGGATAGCAGCATGTGTCTGCTCAGCCAGTGGCTTTTTCTTTATAAATTAGTTTTGTTGTGAAACCAACCTATAAAACTATTCACTGCTACCTGTATAAACAGCAATGAATGTTGACCAGCATATGATCTAATATATCAATAGCTTAAAATAATTAAACCCATTGCTCCCCCCAACCACAAACTAATCCTGGTTTTAAGGGGAAAATAGAGAGACAGAAGAATTAGCTTTTAATTTCAGACAAATCTCTAACTATAGTGTAAGAATTAATCTCTTTCTGGCCCCTGTGGCTTGCCTACTAGCGAAGCGTCTCCCCATTTAAACCTTATTTTCCCACAAATACAGTATTTGCAAGGTCCAGTCTCATGGTGGCCAGCTACTGTTTATGCACCAACACCTATCTAAATGGAAACTCTCTAAGCAGCCAGACATCCTTGCTGACTATCCTATACACAACTACAAGCTCCTTACATTTAACCAATAACTAAACCTTGCTGTGACTCTTTGGAAAGTTAGGATGATTTGGGTACAAGGATGAAGGTAAAAGTTCACAAATAGCGAGATTCTGTAACTGTATACTGGAAAATTAGCTCTGAGGAATTATTTTTAAAAAAAAGGGGAAGTATCGTTAAGAGTTTTGGGCTTCAGTTGTTGGTTTTTCTTTTTTTTTTTTTAAATGCAAAAGGAATGCAACATGCAAATAGACAACCAAGAGCTGTACTATACTGAGCATAAATCTAAGAAAACGGTCTCTGAAAATTGCAAGTAATATCTACCAACTGCATATATCACTA